TTAATTAAAAGTCTACTTTCATTTTCGATAAACAGCCCTGAAATCGCAAAATAGAGTACTGTGGTTGTTACGGATGGCGGATTTAAGTTACTGTCAATTTTTAATGATTTGTTTGTTATTGTTTAACGTCCCTCTCGAGAATATTTCACTCATATGGAGACGCCACCACTTGCCGGTGGAGAGCTGCAAATTTTGACCTATATTCGGAACTCAGGGCCATTGAGCAGTGAGGGATCTTTTTCGTGCCAGCACCTACTGCCACACGGGACCTCGGTTTATATGGTCTCATCCGAAGGACCTGTCTCCACGTCCCACATTGGGATTCGAATCCGCGACGTAAGGATCAACTCCTTTCTCCGCGACTCTAGAGCGGAATAAAAGCATCCGAAGTACAATATCTATAACATAGTATAACAGGTATCAAAATAAACATCAATTCATGAAATTCATATTTTTCAAGTTTTTGCAAAAATAAGGGAGGGGGTATAATTATCTACTTCTGCTCCGAAACTAACTGCTCCGAAACTAACTGCGGAATTTTAAACAAAGTATTTTTCCTGCTGTTAGACTGTAATTAACTGTCATTAGAAACTAGAATGTATTTTCTTGGAATTGTTCCGTCAGTATTGGTAAAAATTCAATTCAATACGCGGGATTTCATCTAGTATTAATAAAAAGGATATGACAACAAAGTGTATATAAAAGTGTTTGGATTCTAAACATATTTTTACAGTGTATACAAGCTCAAAGTCCAGGAGCAGAGCAAACACGGACCTCCAAAAACATCAGAGGTGTGTTCAGGTGCCATGGAGGAGCATCCCCTGCCAACCGGTCACACCCGCCATGTGCTCCTTGTGATGATCGGGTAAAACGGAAAATTCCGTAGACAATTCAGTGTGTAAATAAAGACCTAACAATTAGTATGAAAAAGTCAGTCAGCATTGGACTTAACGATAGGCTGTATTTGCTGACAAGGTCTTTGTATCGACCATAATAAAACTTGCGAAATGATTTCAAACGAGACTGTTGATATCCTTGTTTTATCAATTTGTTTGTCAATAGCTTGAAATTGTTCATACGTAGAGCATGCTCTTGCGTATCGAATCAACTGGGAGACTAAAACCCATATGCAGGTGTTAAGAGTATATTCCTACATAAGTAAGGAAAGCTGACGATTGAAAAATTGAAGTCATCACGCTTATCATAAAGCTTTGTTGTTAGGTTATCATTAAAGTCTTTTTCTAGTAAAATGTCCCAATATGAAACATGTGTCAGACTCTGTGGTATCTTTAATTTTAAGCTCACTGGGATATATTGAGTTGACATATGAATTGAAGTAACCATTTTTAATTGATAATTCGTTTTCGATATATCTGAATGTCGAGTTGAAGGTCACAGCAAGTGTTTTCTTCTTCTCAAGAAGTTTTTTTTTTAAAGAAATTTTTGAATAGATTCTGCTTCATATGAATACAAAAATAGTTCTGCTAATAAGGGGCACAATTGTACCAATGGAAATTCCAACAGATTGTTGAAAGACCTGATCTCCAAAAACTTCATACATACTGTATAGTCAATCAAAAACTCAAGCATCTTTTTAACAACTTCAGAGTACTTGTGTGTACAAACAGAATGCTTTTTGCAAATGACCAATTACAAGGTAAGTATATTTACGAGTTCCATTTTTATTGAAAAAGCAGCAGTCTATGATGTTAAAAAGCCTGGACTTTAATTTATCGTGATGAAAGGGCTATCTGTATTGCAGGGGATATAGTCACTGCTGCAAGCAGTGTACTGAGTATCGAAAATGTTGACAGACTCATTTTTATGAAAAAAATTGTAATACATTAATGGTCCATTTCTGAAGTCCTGAGTGTTTTTTTTTCTAGTCGAGTAACTTAAGTGTTAAATCGTTATTATGTTTATTATTGAATAACTTTGGAACCCTTGATGTATTTTCATGACACACAACAATCTGATGGAATACGTTATGTATTGTATCGCATCTCCCGTATCGTGATTCGTATCGAATTGGCTAGGTTCAGTATTGCCCTATAACTGAAAAAAATCATACAAGATGAAGTTTTCCATAAAAACATACAAAGAATTAAAAGATTCCTCGATATACTGCAAGGTTTACTTATTGTGGCATAAAAGATTATTGTGGCTCCTAGAGTTACGTAGTACATTCGCTTTCGGGCATTTACAGGTTCTGTTGAAGTATCCACTTTTACAGGAACATTCCGTGAAGCCTTGCCCGAAGGTGACATTGGTCAAACATTGATTTCAACAGATTGATGGTATTGACTACTAGCAATATTTTCTGGCAAATTCTTACAGCATTTCATTCCTTCATAATTAAGAACACAATTGAATTATTCTTTAATAAGTGCCTTCGATGGAAACGGAAACGAAGTATCGAACGGAATCTTCCTGAGATTCCCTTTTCTTTATTAAGTTTTCAATACATATCTCCAGATTTTAAGACTATAAATATGCAAACAGATTTAAGTATGATAGTAAATCTATAGAGGTCTTGCTTAATTATGCACATGACATATGCAAATACATGCACTCTACTTTATTATGAACTTTATCCTTTTATATAAATATATATCTTGTAGAATTTATTAATTTATATTAAATCTCAAAAACAGCACAAATTATTCAGTCATTAAATATGAAGGGCTATCAATTATTTAAAAAAAAAAGAGCATGTACATACTTCGAAAACAGATTATAACTATCTCCTGTCACTTAGGTAACCTTTTGCTATCTGTTTCGTCCGTTGTCACGCACTTACATTTGAACATTTTCACCTCCTTTTCTTGAACCACTGAAACTTTGGCACAGAACATCTTTGAGAGAAGGGGAGCAAAAGGTGTGAATTTCATGATTCCTGCCTCCCCCCCCCCCCGGGGCTTAGGGCTAAAGCCATCAAAATTAGGCCATCTTTGAAAAATTGTTTGTCGGCCCGACTCCCAATTATTTATTTTGAATTTAATAGCTTCTGAGTCGAGGGTTTTGGTGTGAAAGTGGGGGCTGTTTTGATTATGTAGTGAAAATGCATTTATTCTTTGAAAATATTCTCTGCTCCAGGGTATATAGCAGATAAACTAAGTGCACTGTTATGAAGTTAAAGAGTGCTTCTTTCAAATTTTAAAAATATGTGGCACCAGGGTTAGGGGTTCTGTTTGAGGAGGACTCTGGTGTTTATATAGAGAAAGTGCATTATCTTTTTGAAAATGTTCTCTGCTTCTAGGCATCTAAGGAGCAAACAGAGTATATAAAGTTGTAACAAGCAAGGGTATTAATACCAGATTTCTGAAATTCTGCACCATTTGATCAATTTATTGATTTATAGTCTAGTGAAAGAATTTATCCCCTTTTCCTATTCACCTATGATAATTAATTACTGTAAATAATGTAATTGAGAAATCAATTAAATAACACAATTATACTAAAATTTTATGATATTTAATATAAAAAGTACTTTCATAATTTTTAATGGTGAGGTAGACAATAGATAAATAAAAATAAGACAAAAATACCTTATCTTTGTACATGAAATGTTTTTCAAGGACTCGGAGGGGCCAATGTGACAGGGCATGAGATTGATTTACTAACAGTGCTCAAAAACATTTTTTAGTCAGCATTGGGATAGTGACAAATGAGGGCAAGCTAAATTAATTATTTTGCTGATCCCTAGTCATCCAATTTTTCTTCCTTTTGGGCATAGATGACTGTTAAGGCCCTTGGGCCTATTGTCTTTTCGTACATGTAATAATTGCTTGTCTTGCTTATTATTTTGATACCAAGTACAGTGTTCTTGCGTAAAAAAGCCATTTAAAATGGAAAGATAATCAACCAAAGATCTGTGGGCTGTTAAATGTGTGTACAGCCTATTCAGAGAGCTACATGTACACTCTACTCACTGAATATTACTCGGTAAGGAAAAGATTTAAATTGTTGGACATCAAAAATAATGGTTCATAATTTTAAATTATCTTACCAAAACACTGAAAAACGTGTGATAAAAAGTGTTGAAAAATTCAATAAATACATGTATTTCCTAACTGAAAGCAGGAAACACTTTTAGTTAGTATTTCCTACGTATAGTAGGAATTTCGTGTAGTTCCTAAAATTCAGAAAATACATGAAATTCCTGATTACATGCACATATTTACTGTGATATATACCTAAAAATAAATCATACAGTTCATCAAGTTGATAACTTTATTTTCATTTCTGACCAATGTTTGATTATCAGCTATCTCCAAAGAAATAAGAGAGGGAGGGGGCCGGTTGGTTGGTTGCAGTGCCTCTATAGATTCGAAGCGTACAATAAATTCTCCAAAAAATCACAAAATTATCTACATCCTTTTAACAATGTGTTAACTTTATTCCTACCACTAAATTGAAATTATAAATTATACCATTAAGGAGGGGAAATCATACTTAGGTTGATAATAAGGGAAAATGGCTCTAGGATTCAATTTCCCACCTTGGAAAGTCTGCTCTAGAGCAGGATTTCTCCACTTCCACAATTCCGGATAAATCCTTCTCTATAATATTGGCATATCATATTTATATATTTGAAATGCATTTTGCAATGTAAAATTGGAAAAGAGTACGTCTGTATTTTTACCAATTGGTCTTTGAAAATTGAAATATTTTTAGAAAAAATCATACATTGCGCAGAGACATCTGATTGTTTGAATTTACATCTCAAGTCCGGAATGTTATATACTATTCTGTATATTAAGAAGGGAAAAGAATAAGAAATTAAAAGTTTTTTCAACGATGGTTACTCATAATAGAAACAATGTAATAATTTCAAACTAAACTACATTCTCTATATACCCGAAATGATGCTCTTTTAAAAAAAATTCCAACACGGATTCTTCCCTGTAAAACCTTTTCTTATCTTTCAAGTTTGCTTAATTTTTGTTGAATTTTTTTTTCTGCAAGCAAGCTTTTACACAAATTTGAGAGGTACTTACCTAAGTAAAAATTTGACAACAAAGTGATTGGAAGATTAAAAATTGCAACAAGAATATCCGCTACAGCTAGGTTAACAATGAAGCAGTTAGTCACAGTCCGCATGGCCCTGTATCTGAACACAACTGTTACCACCATAAGGTTTCCAAAAAGAGCACACAAAAACACGACACTGTACGCAATTGAGTAAATAGCAATCATATATGTTGGCTGTTTAAGAATAAACAGATGTTTTACACTGACATTACTTGCATTTCCGTTTGGACTTTGAGGTGTATCTTGCAAAGTAAAGTAAGATAACGTGGAAGTCATGTTGGAATCACAAATCATGTTATGCTTCTATGTCCGTGATAATATATAATGGCCCATCCTTTGTTAGAAATTGATTAGTGAGTTGCTTTATCTCTTCGAGACAACACGTGGTACTGATGGACAGCGTAGCGGAAATATAATGAGCGAAACTTCCGAGATGTCACTCTTTTAAATCACCTTCAGACCATTACAGCTCTTGAGTCGTTCTGGCGTCCACAAAATTCGATATTCGATTTATACAACTGTATTAGAGATCCAGTACTTTTGCATCAATTCAAAAAGTCGGTATATCTAGTCATTATTGCCCTTTTATATTATCTAACTAACACCTTGTTCTTATCGTTTAACCGAGCTGCCAAAGACATCTACAGAACAATTACAACTCCGAAGGCAATTTATATCTCTGAAGAATATAATGAAATCTATAAACCCCTGGTCTTGGATTTCCCAAGAGCATTTGAATATATTCTTAAAAGATCAAAGGTAATCAAATATGATTCAACGCAAGACAGTTCACTTAAACGTTTTTGATGGGCGACACGCACAACTTAAGACAATAATTATCTCCAAGAATGACCTCGTCTGCAAAACAATAAAATTCAACCACACTGAAAATTCTTTACCATTCTATCATTTTACTAGTTACCGGATTTCGAATATTACTATGGTTATGCTAAAAATAACGAGTGTATAAATTGTGAACATATAAAATAACCCCTGTAATTTTTCAAAACAGATTAAAATCTGTGAAAGGTTTCACATTATTAAAGCTTTCTACAGACATTACTGATAGAAGGAATATATTCTTGGAGTTTATTAAAATTTGTATAAGGTTTTCTAAATCCCAGTTCAAACTTAGGTAGAGAACATGCAATATACATTTGACATAAGAGGCCTATGATACTTATCGCTCACCTAACATAGAACAGTCTTTTCAGACAACATTTAGCTGTATTGATAAGCATGAATACTTTAGTTTGTTGGCTATGCCTTTCCGCTAAATTAAGATAGCAATTTACTAGTATCTGAATATTTACAGCTACAATATTCGAAAAAAACTTAATTTCCTCAACGATTTTCGAGTTAGCTGTCACAGAATCAAATTTGGTTTTATGAGAAACAATGACGTTATAGTTGTTATTTTATTGACGCTCAAACAGTGACATACTGCGCCAATCCGGCTTTTTATGAGACACTCAATTCCAATCCCTGATGCTTAAAATGTTGAGGAAGACAAAAAGTATACTGGAATTATCGCACAGCCTGCTTATCTACTCTTCGGTTGATAGATTTTCAAGCTTCGGATTAAGGCAATAACAAAGAGTCATTGACTCGTGCGTGGGGTCCTTATTTACTGAGAATGGTTGTGAAATTGTATCCACTTCTTTCTATTTCTACTTTTCGGAAATATGAATCTTTCATGAATAGCCTGCATACAACTTGCATACAACCTGTGCTTTCATTTAAGATCCAATAAGGGGATTAAAAATCTCCGTCAGTAATGCCCTTATCTATTTTTGCATTGATTTTTTCCTAACATTCAATTTTCGGCCTATGTTTGATTTGCAAAATGCATGTACTATTTCTATGACATACTAAGTTAACCTTACTCGCAATCATAAAAATGCGCACCCTGGAAGTAGAAGCAAGCCGAAAATTACGCCATTGATGGGAAAAAAACCCTTTTTTTACTATTATTAAACATGAGTAAATGCTACTCCAGCATGCTAGAGGTTCATGGCGAGATACTTTTGACTTGGCGCCGCTTGACCTCTAGCATCCGATGTAAAAATTCTTGCCGCTGAAACCCCAAGTGAAAATAAATTGTTTAATTAAAATTTCAGGCTTTAAACATTAACGAATGACACGAAACAATAAAATATTCACTATTTCCGATAAAACTTACACATAAAACAATTGTTAATCTCTCGTTTTAATTAGCGATAAATCTATTATTTTTAAAATCGTTGGAGAAATCGTCTGTTTCAAATTCGGGAATGGAATGCAGAAAATCTGAAGAAACGAAACTAGTTTTCCGCTATGAAATAACTTAAATTTTCGTTTTCTGACTAGCAATCTGCTAAATTAACATGAAGTCATATCGACAAATTGAAATAATGACGGCTTTAATTAATGAACAATGATGCAAGATTTCTTGTGACTTTTATACCCCATGCAAACACGTAGTTACTTGAGAATTACTTGTTTACAGTTTAACATAATATGTTCCGCCCAAAATCTCAGGCGGAACGATCTCGTTAGAAATGGCCTTCGGATGTAAGAGTCCGAGGTATATAAGGATCGTAAGGACGTTAACCGAGGCTCTTACTTGTAGGAGTAGGTTGTGCCATACATGATTGATTGTTGTATGTTGTTTTACGTCCCCTTTTCAAAATATCACTACATTAAATCAAAGTTATCAACATAGTAATTCAATGTTTTTCATAGTGATTACTATAGTATTTCAAAGTTATCACTATAGTGTCATAGTTATCACTATATTAAATCAAAGTGTCAAAGTTATCATTATAGCTTTCATTGTGCCAAAGTTATCACTTTAGTTAACAATAGTAAATTATAGTTAAGTATAGTTTCCTATCGTATATTTGGGTCACCTGAGTCAATCAGGTGACCTATTGCTATTCGTTTACGTCAGTCCGTGTGTTTTCTGCTTCTTCTCTAAAACCGCTGGACAACTTTCAGCCAATTTTAGCATATGGCACCTACGGGTGAAGGAGAACAAAATTTGTGATTTCATGGTCCCTGCCCCCTGGGGGCTGAGGGGTAGGGCTAAAACCATCAAAATTAGTGCTCTCTTTAAAAATCTTCTTTACTTCTGGACATCAAGCAGTCAAAATGTTGGCATGATTGTAATAAGCATTGAGCCCTCTACTAAAATTTTGAAATTCATGGCCCCGGGGTCAGGGGTTCTGGAGTGAGGGTGGGACTTTGTTGATCATATAGTGAAAATGCATAAATTCTTTGAAAATCTTCTTCTCTGCCCCTGTATATAAAGAAGATAAACTAGGTGCATGGTTATGATGATCAAGGGTGCCTCTTCTAAAATTGTGAAATTGTTGCCCCAAGGTGAGGGGTACAGGGGGGGGGGGGGCTCTGTTGATTATATAGTGAAAATGCATTATTTCTTTGAAAATCTTCTCTGCTCCTACAGATAACACCAAGTATATAGTTATGATGAGCATGGGCACTTCGAAAATTATGAATATCTTGGCCCCTGGGTCAGGGATTCTGATGTTAGGGCGGGACTCTATTGATAATATAATATAGGTAAAAAGTTATGATGAGCAAGGGCAACTCTTACAAAAACTGTGAATATCTTGGCCCCTGGGTTGGGGGTTATGGTGTTAGGACTGGGTTCTATTGATTATATAGTGAAAATGCATTAATTTTTTGAAAATCTTCTCTGCCTCTTGGTATTTAGTAGATATATTTAGTGCATTGGTATGATGATCAAGGGTGTCTCTTCCTGAGAAATTCGTGTCCCCAGGGTCAGGGGTTCATGTGGGGGTCTACCGGTATTTAATATGTAGTGGAAATTCATTTTTTTAAAAATCTTCTTCTCTGCCCCTGGGTATTTAACAGAAAAACTAATTGTATGGTTATGACGAGCAAGGAAATCTTTTCTTAAAGTTTAAAATTCATAACCCTGGGGTCAGGGATTTTGGTGTTAGAATGAGAACCTTTTGAATATAGTAGAAATGCATTATTTCTTTGAAAAGCTTCTTTTCTGCCCATTGTTATTAAGGAAACATACTAGGTGCATAGTTATAATGAGCAAGAATTCTTCTTCCTAAACTGCGAATATCCTGGCCCCTGGGTCAGGGGGCTTTGGTAATAGGGTGGGGCTATATTAAATCTGTCGTGAAAATGGATTATTTCCTTGAAAATCTTCTTTGCTCCTGGGCATCTAGGAGGCAAATGGAGTACATGTATATGAAGTTGTAATAAGCGAGGGATTTTAAACAGATTTTGAAGTTCTGTACCCTTTGGTCAGTTTATCGATTTCTACTAAAAGAAGTTATTCCCCTTTGCTATCCACCTGAAGTAGTTAATCACTGTAAAAAATGTAACTTAAAAAGGTCAATTGAATAACAGAATAATACAAGAGATTTTATAATATTAAGTACAAGTACTTGCATAGTTTTTAATGGTCAGGTAAACTTTTAAATAATACTTAGTAGATAAATAAAAATGGGACAAAAATACTGTATCTTTGTACAGTAAACAATCTTAAAAGACTAAGAGAGGCAAAAATACTGTATCTTTGTACATTAAACAATCTTAAAAGACTAAGAGAGGCCATTGTGAGGGAGAATGAAATACGTTAATTAATAGTGCTCTAGAACTAATGTTTTCTTTAGCCTATGTAAGGATAGTGACACATGGGGGAAAGTTTAGGCAAACAAACAGATCAACTTTAAAATTTGTTATTGATAACTAAATTAATATATATATTTTGCTGATCCCTGATCATCCTATTTCTCTTGCTTTAAGGCAACATAGCTTTTATATTATTTATCAGCTTATTTTGTTTTAATCTATGGATCGTTACATTACACTCAGGTGACTGTTAAGGCTCTAGGGCCTCTTGTTTTTGTATATAATATAGACATGAAAATAATTGGGTGTTTTATTTTTTATTTTTTTTGGTACTTTTTATTTATTCTCTACGCCTAGTTCACGTTAATATTGATGTCTTTGTATATGTAAATACTAGCATTTTTTCAACATCTTTACAGTAACATGACCTTGACTTTTTCGTCGAGCTACTTATACATAACTCTTAACATTTACAAGTCATGTAGGATTGTTGACGAAAATCGTAACATTACAAGGCATGTGTGATTGTGGAAGAAAATGTAATTTTTCGTTGAAAGTGAACGATGTTCTTCATACTGTCGTGTTTTAAGCATTCAATTGTGCTGATTGGGTAAATATGAAAGATATGAGTTGAACTCATCATGTGCTCTCATCCATAATCAATGATTAACGTAAGGGGCCTAAAGTTTGATTATCTTCGCATAGTATATATTTAATCTCATTGTAACGCGCCATTTGATTGGATAAAAATTTACTTTCTATCGTATTTACTGTGTTGCTTACGTCACAATGACTTGCGTCAAAAACGTATCGATCTGACTGACGTTACATTTAAT